TCCTCCCTCTCCTCCCCCTCCTCCTCCCCCTCCTCCCCCTCCTCCCCCGCCACCTGGGACACCTCCCTGCTTCCCTCTCATTTTCACCCCTGCGTCCATGAGCAAGCTCCTGCACACCTTCATCTCCTAACCGCGTCTTAGTCGCCTGACTCACGTCCCCCCCCGCCTATCACTTACGCACATGTACCGCTATCACATGCATGCATCCCTCTTTCCCACTTTACTACTCACATACATACATGCGCACATACTCCCACACCCATAGGATATGTTGGCGCTTGTGGAGCGCTTTGTAGCTCGGATTGGGGACGAAGAGATGAAGGTCAAGATCCGGATCGGCCTGCATTCAGGTACGACTCGTACGGTGATGAGTACGACACTGGGTCTCCCAGTAAGGGGTTAAGATATCGGCGCACGGGGCCGGACGAAACGTCCACAAAGCTCACAATCGTGATTCTTAGCCTTCCTGTGATTTCCTAAGCGGTGCATCTGAATGTAAGACGCGTTTTTTGCCCTTGGACAAGATGTCGTACTGTACGTTTCGTAACCTTGCGAACGTGTGGAGCAATAATATCGTGTGGAGCCGAAAAGCGGAAAGGCATAGATGGAACCAGCAGTCGTGATGGGTATATGGAAGCCTCGTCTGGCTGCCCTTGGCTCGTAGCTGTGAGTGCCCATCGGTGTCATGTTCGCGGCCGCCAACACCCCTAACATTCTCTAACCATCACTCCCATGCCCCAACCCTCTTGCCCCCGTGTCCCTCTCTTGCCCCCCGCCCCGGGTCTCTCTCTCTCTCTCTCTCTCTCTCTCTCTCTCTCTCTCTCTGGGGGCTCTTGGGATCCGTCTGGGGGTCATAAGGCCCCGTGGTTGCAGGCGTTATTGGCCAGCGGATGCCTCGGTACTGCCTTTTCGGTGAGTCAGTTGGTGGTTGGTAGTTTGTTGATTTGCTCAGAAGGTGTCGAGCACACGCTCTCGCTTCGCGTGTTGTGAAATAATGTCCCGTTGTGTGCGATATGTGGTCTTGATAATTCGTCCCATGCGCAAGTTACCATGTACGACATCGAGGTCGTGCCAGGGTTTTAAGCACCCCGTCAACCCTCCTTTCTTACGCCCGCTTCCCCCCCCTCACACACCCACACTTCCTTCCCGTGCTGCAACCACCCACACGCCTTGCGACTGTACGGCATCAACTTACATGTCGTTGTGCCGTACACTGCGTGTACGACGATGCTCATCGCATCTTATCCGCCATGCTTGTGGATGACGACGGGCTTGTGCAGGCGACACTGTGGTAGGTGGTTGTGGTGGTTGTGGTGGTGATCTCCCGTTCTCTCCCCCTAACTCCCCTAACTCACATAAGTCCCTCCAGCGGACACGAACTCAAAAAGACGGGAGCGGGGTTCCACTTCCGCTCCTGAGGCGACGCGTGAGAGGAAGCGAAGCAGCATCCGCCCTCAGGCGACCCCCCAATGGGTTCCCCACCCCTCTGTGAAGTCAGGAAGGAAGCCCTCAATGCTGTCAGTGCAGTGCTGGACGCCGTGCAGCCGTCCAAAATGGGGTTGCGGGTTCTGCAGCCTCATAGTCGTACACTCCTATTCACATCAAAAGGTTTTATATCGCACAAAGGCCCCATCTCTAGATGTGTCCACTTAATCACCTAAAAATGGCACCTCTTGATGCCGTTCAGTAATGGACGTTTTGGCCATTTCAAGGCGATATCTTCCCATGGTCGGATTTTCGCGGCGGCGTTCCAATGGGTGCGGTTGTGTGACATTCGCAAAGATTCCGTTGGCAAACTCGGCCCTCCTCTCTCTTCCCCCTACCCAACCAACCAACCAACCAACCAACCAACCAACCAACAGAACACGGCCAGTCGGATGGAGAGCAACAGTGCCCCCATGTGCATCAACATCAGCAATGCGACTGCGGATCTTCTTACGATCAGTGGCGCCGTCGTGGTGCCGTACATGGGTAACCAAGCGACGCCCCTGCTCTCACCGCTGCGGCCACCGATTCCCAGCACCGCGCCATCGCCAGTGCGGTCGATTCCGGTGGGCTGCTTTCCGGGGGCTGCTGGCCACCCTATGTACGGCACTCCCTTCGATCCGCGGTGGCAACCGCATGAGGCGGCGGCGGCGCCGTCGCTGCCGTCACCGTCACTGCCGGCGCCGCTGCCGCTAGCGCTGCTGTCGCAGGGACAAGGCCTTAGCGAGCCGCCTGGAAACCCCGGGGAGCCCACCTTCGGCGGGTTGGGCCCTGGCGGTACAGGCACCAGCACCTGCATCAACATCAGCGGCGTACGTGATGGCAGCGGCTGCTGCTCAGGAGCCTCTGTGGCGGCGGCGGCGGCGGCGGCGGTGAACAGCCCCCACGTGGCCTCAACGTTGATCCTACACAGTCGTGGGGTCGTACACGTCAAGGGCAAGGGCCCTATGGTTTGTTACTGGTTGGGTAAGCCGCCGTATGACAGCCTAGGTTGAGAAAAGGCTGTTGCGGGCCGTCCGTCTTCTTCATAGCGCATCATAGCAGCGGAACGCGGCAGGGTGGCGTGTCGGCGCACCTGTTTTTTTACGGCCGCATCAACAGTGTTCTGGCATGCACCGACGCGTCGGCAGGATCCACGGTGTGTTTTCATCATCTCACCATGAGCCACCTGCTGTGGGGGAAAAAAGGGGGGGAGGGGGGGGCGGGAAAGCGAGGGGCATATCAAACTACTTCGGGAAAGGAAGGTAGACTTATTAGGTTTGGGTTTCGTTGGGTGAGATCGGGATTTATTTGTCCCTGTTAATCTGGTTCCGTTGGACCTTTTGGACTCTGTTAATTCTGTTGGAATCTGGTTGGGGTTGGTTGCACAACTCCCCCCGTTGTTCAAAGAGTTTGGCGTCTGGCACGGAGAGAGAAAGCATTGGAGCGGGCGGCGCGATGATTGCTGAAGTGGAGCTATGGACTGTATATTTTGATTGATTACATTAGCTGGGGGGAGGGCGGTAGGAGGAGAAGGGTTTAGGAAACGAGACACACACAAATACATACATACATACATGCATACGTAGCACAAGAAAAAATGGTGGGGCGACGTGGGCTGAGGACTGAGGAAATCAGGTGTGGTGAAAGGTGTGGGGCACCAAACCCGTCGACGACGTCTTGGTCGGCTGCATTGGTCGGCTGGCCGGCAAGGTAAGCACGCATGAGAAGGCTGGGCAGCCGGATAAACTAAGGGGAAGAGACGGAACAGCCTGCCTAAAACTCCGCAGCGTGCGGCCTGTGGACTGGAAGCTGTAATAAGAGGCTAGCCGCATCTTGGTTTGGATCCGAGCAGCAGCGACCCCCCTGTACTTCGGGTTTAGGGGCTTTAAGGGCTGTGCGCTAGGAATGTTGCCCCGCTGGACGGAAGCAGAGTCCGGTGACCTGTGTCCCTGAGCTCCTGCCAGCCTCTTTGCCAGCCAAGGGCCATCCTACTCCGCCGGCTGATTTACCGCCATTCCTTTGATTCTCGTACTCCATATTGCTTGGCTGCCCTTTTACACTTTTTTCAATCCCATGCGCCGCAGGACGGCAAGACCAAATTTACGATTGAGAACGCGACGCGCACTCGCATCATGCTGGCGGACACTCGAATTCATATTCTAGGTTCCTTCCAGAACATTCGGGTGGCGCGTGATGCGTTGTGTTCGCTCATCCTCGGCTCTCCCGCCTCCAAGGTCTACTCAAAGCTTCGCTCAACGTGTGCACGCTCGAATGACAGCTGAAATGGCTTCTGTCTGTAGCAGCACGGCGGTGGGGAGGAGGACAGCTGTGAGTGGGACCCATTTCACAGTGCAGCAGCAGCAACAGCTGAAACAAGGCGTAAGGCGGGGCTGCTTGAGCGCCTGTACACGACAGTTGAGCGCCTATTTGGCAGGGGAAGCAGAAACGTGGCTGTAGGACGAGGGGCAACAATTCGTCGTTAAGGAAAGGCTGATTGGGTCAATTGGCCAAGAAGTTAAGGCCGTGCGCAGAGCATACGTCTACAGCAGACGCGGGTACCTAGGGCGGTAGGGAAAGGGGGAAAAGGGAGTTGCTCAGGGCGCGGGGCAAAGCGGCGTTGTGCTTAGGGTAGGGTTTTTGGAGAAGGGGGAGGTGCTACCTGGGCAGCGACGGTTTGTAAGGGAGTAAGGTATTATGTACATAATGCTGTGCATTGAGGGCGCGACCGCGAATTGGATGTCTACTGTAGTATCAGTTTTCTTCTTTCTTTCGTGGCAGAGTACAGGATAGACAGGGATTGCGGCGTGACTGGGGGATTCTACGGTGGCCTTTGGAGGGGGAGTTAAAAGGTAGCAACGACTAGACTATAGAAGAGAGCAGTTTCTACCAGATGGAAGTGAAATCCTCGTCACGGCTCTAGCGCAGGATGCTATGACTATGTGACGATGGTGAATTACCATGATGCTTTGTGCAGTGCTTTTTGACGATGCGTGTGCCGGTTGAAGATGTTTCGCTCGTCCGGTGGAAATTGGAGTTAAAAGCCAATTGTGGCAAGCCCACGGGGGACAGGAGAGGGGCGGCGTTGTATGTGTCGTTTAATGTCGTCTTGCTGTTTGTTGACTGTTTGTTTTCGTGTGGTGGTCGCCCCGTTTATCACTGCGTTTGGTGTGCGCGGTGATTCATGCGGGTGACCTGCAAAGAATTTTCATTTGCGATTATGCATTTTTGTTTCGCGAATCTGGGATTCCGAAACAAATGCAGCGAAAGCGATGAGCTCGTTTTCCTGCTATTCCTCGCAGCGGCGAGGCTACCCTTTCGGATTTGCTGTACGAAGCGGGTACAGGCGTGATGGTGACTCATTTCGCATACACACAGGCTTACAACCTTTCTTTGACCTATAGATCTCCTTGTCATCTGTCCTGTATAAACTCATTTATGTCTCACTGTCAAAAGCGAAGACTTTTCCTTTGGACTTGACTATCCTTTGTAAGCGCTGTGCAAGTGAGCAAGGGTTTGTCCATACCAGCTCGCCTCAGGCTTTTTTTCCAGCATACAACCACGGCACGGCAAAGGCGCGGGCACAGTTTCCCTTTTGAAAGTTCTGTGTTACTGTCTCCCTTAACTGGTTCTGGTGGCTGTGGATTGGCTGACCCGATGGTGCTGAACGGCGTGGTTTGGACGATTTTTGGCGAGAATTGCACCTCTGCCTCGGGCCTTACACAGCAGGAAGAGCAAACAGCCAAGCCTATCAGTGGCCGCGCGGCCCAACCGGCCAGCAGGCCGCCCGTAGCCACGGGGGCCGCGCGGCCGACCGCGGCGCGACACACCAGACAGCCAACAGTCCGGCACGCACCGCGAAGGGGCGCCAGCGCCCAACACCAAAAACCAACCTCGGCACGACAGCATTGCTGACCTTAAGTAACAGAGGCACTGCAGCACCCGCGCGCCCCAAAGACCTTCGCACCAGACAAAGCCCGACCGACCAGAAACGACCAGGCACCAACCCCATGGGGTGCTCCCCCTCATCCCGGTTGCGGGCGCCTCGGCCCGCCCCCTGAACCACCCCCCTCCCGCGCGCGTGCTGCCTCCCCCTGCCACCATGCTGAGGGGGGGGGGCGCCTCTCAGGAGCCCGCCGACGCCAGGCCGATCCAATCAGTGCTGCATCTGGGGCAAGACTGGGGATAGCGGAAAGAGGAGGCAAGGGGCTGACAGGGACAGGGCGGGCGGGGGGCAAGTACAGCCTGTCACGCTGACTATTCGGACAAGGCTGTATGCTCTTCTGTGTGAAGGCAGAATGACTTCACCAGTAGAGCAGTAAGGTTTAAGTCGCCACTGCGACCCAGTTGTACGACAGTATCACAGAACCAGCCTTAGAGGCTCCGGTCGCTTCACTCCGTCGCATCTAAGCCAACAATTCTGTGTTACTGTCTCCCTTAACTGGTTCTGGTGGCTGTGGATTGGCTGACCCGATGGTGCTGAACGGCGTGGTTTGGACGATTTTTGGCGAGAATTGCACCTCTGCCTCGGGCCTTACACAGCAGACCGAAGAGACATTTGCTCACTGGCGAGGCCCAGGCTGCGGGAGACGGAGAGTTTCGCCTCCCCGTCGCGCCGCGTGTAGTGCTGCACCATGGCGTCGCTGCGCCACCGGCCGTGCGCCTTGTGCAAGTCCGCAGGCACACCGCGATCGGCGGCAGTGCTATTTCCTCCTATGCGCATGGAATGCGCAGTGATGCGGCGGGTGATCCCCGCCGCTTGCAGGGTCTTGTTGAGCCGGTGGCAGAAGGCAGGGTACGACAGGGAGTGGATCGGCTGGGCCACCGTGCCTGTCAGAGGGCCCGACAGGTATCCCCCGGCCCTGTTCCACTGGACCGCAGGTAGAGCGCCACCACCTCGCCCGAGGTGTCATAGATGCTTCCAGGCAGTTGCCTGGCCACCCACCACTCGCGGAAAGGTTCCCAAGACCGCGAGTATTCGTTGGATGTCCGTGGGGCGAGGGTCTGCCCGGCCACTTTGGTGAATTGAGTCGCCAAGGTGGAGAGCTCCGTGTCCGCCTCCGCGCCAAGAGCGACCAGGAGAGCCTCGGCCCGGGCGTCTAAATCTGTGCGTGGGGCGCGATCGGATCGGCGGGGACACGGATGCGGTTGATGTTAGAGGCCGAGAAGTCGACCAGAAGGGCCAAGGTGGACCAGCGTGATGCGCCTTTGGGCAGGGGGACCCCTGAGGTGCGGGCCAGGAAAACATCTGAGGCCCAGCCGAGCACGCGGGCTCCGCTCACGAAGGGTTTGAACCAGACCCCGTCGGCCGTGATGAAAGGCCACCAGTCGCGGGTAGGCCAGAAAGGCGCGACAAGGCAGAGCCGGGACTTGCAGGCCTCGGCGTGCTGCAGAACCCTGAGGAGGAGGTGAAAGGGCGGGTTCGCCCAGCACCTGCGCCCCCATGAGAACCTGAACGCGTCGACTCCAGACGTCGTTGGGGTAAAGTAGCGGGAGTAGTACACGGGGAGTTGGAAGTTCGCGTGGGACGCAAAAAGGTCAATGTCGAAGGGGCCCCAGGTGTCGTGAAGTCGGCGGAATATGCTGGGCTTCAGCATCCAGTCATCAGGGTCTTGCAGTTTCGAAAGCGCATCAGCAAGCTGGTTCTGGCCACGGGGTCGCCACTCTGCTTGCAAGCAGATGTCCTGTTCGAAACAGTAGCTGTGCAGCTCGCAGGCGACCTTGTGGGAGTTGTCCGCTTTTGCGGAGCCCTTGTTGACGACGTTCGCGGCGTTAAGGTTGTCAGTGATGACTTTAACCGACTGACCAGAGAGACCGGCTGGGTTGTCGAACGATTGAATCGCGTTCAGAATGGCCTGGAGTTCCTGCGGGGTAGACCCCATAGCGCTGACGTCGGGCGTCCACTCACCGCGCGCTGGCGCCAACTGGCCATTGAGGATGGTCCAGGCCCCCCAACCTCCGAGAGACTCAGAGGATTTGCCTGCGGCGTCGCAAAAAATGAGGGAATGCACCACGGACGGAACCCACAGGTGCCGGCGGCCGTTGAACCGATCAAAGGACGATTCCCAGAAAATCAGCTCCTCCCGCGCATCATCGGAGAGGAGGAGGTGGGTTTCCCAAGTCTGGCGAGTTTCAACGAGTTGACCGAGAGCTCGGGTGCGCAGCCGGGCCCAAGGTCCGAGGGCCCAAGACATGGACAGGATTAGGCCTTTTAGGGATGCCAATAAGCGGGCGGTCGAGCGCCGCGCCGTGAGCACGCAATTGATCGTGGATAGGAGGCGATCCCGCTTGTCGCCTGGCACAATGAAAACGCCGTCCTTGGTATCGATAAGCATGCCCAAGTATCTAATGCGATGGTGCACGGCCCCCAGCATAAATTTCTATTTATTAACCGGGAAACCAAGCGCCTCCAGCTGGGCAACCACTTCGGCCCTGCGCCGTACCAAGTTATCAGCGTTCTGGTCTGCGTGCACCTGATCGTCTAAGTAGCCCGAGCATCGCCAGCCGCGCTTGCGCCAGGGGCGCATGACTTCTCACATGAGCTTCGTGAACGCCCAGCAGGCGGAAGCGAGGCCAAAAGGCAGTTGTGTGAAGACATAGAAGACGCCTCTCCAGCAGAAGCCGAGATATCTCCAGAACCTTGGGTCAATGTCGAGGTGATGGTAGCCGCTTTTGAGGTCCAAAGTAATGTAATGTAATGTAATGTAATGTTACAGAGTGGGAGGCTTCTGGGCCGCTTTATCACATTGTCAGTTCTAGATCATTTATCACCTTATAGCACCATCCACCACTACCACACTGTACTTCGCCATACGAACTGTAAGTCCAAGGCGGTGGGTCCAGCCTTCAGGGACCCCTCCTCATCCATTCACCCGAACACCCGAAGAGACGGAGGGTTCGGCAATCGCCACCAATCCAGCGTGCGAATCTGGTCCATCAACTGTGACCTCAACTCCACATCTCAGCAGCTAGCCATAATCTCGCGCTCCCGAGTAATTCGGGGGTCTCCCCAGGAATCGAACCCAGGACCTTAAACCGCTAATTGCAGTAGTGTCAACCCAGACCAGACCAGGTCCAAAGTAAATAGGTAATCGTCTGGGAGTAGCCAACCAGGAACCGCCTTCAAGTCTTCGTAGCGGAAAGAGGGGACGTGCAAGTAATCGTTTACCGGCCTGCCGTCCCAAATGAGCCGGAGCTTAGTTGCCTGCTGCACGACCCCCAACGGGCAAACCACACGAGGCTGCGTCGGCCATACGCGGGCTGTGCCCGATGCTAACAGATCCGCGATGGCTTTGTCAACGAACGCGGCGTTGGCGGTTGCCGAAGTGTGATTGCGGCCTGAGTGCTGGGGGGGAGGGCTGGAGACCCAATGGAGTGGGAAGCCTGACGTGATCCACGAGATGACCAGCGCGTTCACAACCCAAGCCTTCCAAGTGCTCTTTTTGCCAGAGAGGCGTCTCTCATCTGGGGCGGCGTGGGAGGCTGACCCGCTGCTGGTAACGACCGAACTCCCAAGGCGTTGTCGGAGGTAGGGCTAGAAAACTCCCCTTTAACCTTCCAGAGGTCACCCGGGGCCTCGACCTTCGCACCTTCTGGTGCCACCGCGGGACGGGCTGGTTGTTTCCGATGTGTGGCCAGACTTGCCGGGACTGACGCGGGGTCCAGGTTTGGCAGATGGGCAGGGGCAGGGCCCGGTGCAGGCCGTTTGGGGGCTGGCATGTCGTCGGGGGCTGCAGCAGGTGGGCCACGCGGCTGGCCTAAAAGGCGCTGCCTTTTGAATTGGCTGGTGTTGCGACTGACGGACATCTGGGCGTCTTCCGCAAGGCCCGGACGCGAGAGGGCCTCCACCCCTAGCTCTGACAGGAAAGCGATAGCGTCGTCATGAGAGAACGAATCCATGGTTCCTTAGACGGAATTCACTGGTGGTGGTGAAAGCCTGCGAGCGTGCACAGGATGGACTGATGGAGACACGGGCGAGCGAGGAAGTAGGACAACACTTAAAGAAGTACGACGGGCAAAAAATGGGTCCCCCCAGCCGGCCGACTGCCAAGGCGACTTAATGGACTGCTTGACTAGACGCAAATTGTCCCAAGAGTACGGCAAATGCTGCCACAGAGTGAACCCGTACGACGATCTGTTCACGAACTCAAGACAAGAAAAGGCGATAGAAGAAAAGCGGGAGCAGAAGACACCGCGAATAAAGAAGGCAATCGACGATGCTCACATCTGCACGCACGGGCGCACACGGGCGCCTCAGTTGCACTCGCGGGTGCTCAAGTTGATGCTCACTGGCAACTTCATCGCGGCCAGAAAAGATTACTTCTGCACACACGGGCGCCTCAATTGCACTCGCGGGTGCCCAACTCGATGCTCACTGGCAACTTCATCGCGACCAGAAAAGGTTGCTCCTGCGCACGCAGGCGCCTCAATTGCACTCGCGGGTGCCCAACTCGTTGCTCGCTGGCAACTTCATCGCGACCAGAAAAGGTTGCTCCTGCGCACGCGGGCACCTCAATTGCACTCGCGGGTGCCCAACTCGTTGCTCGCTGGCAACTTCATCGCGACCAGAAAAGGTTGCTCCTGCGCACGCGGGCACCTCAATTGCACTCGCGGGTGCCCAACTCGATGCTCGCTGGCAACTTCATCGCGACCAGAAAAGGTTACTCCTGCGCATGCAGGCGCCTCAATTGCACTCGCGGGTGCCCAACTCGATGCTCACTGGCAACTTCATCACGACCAGAAAAGGTTACTCCTGCGCATGCAGGCGCCTCAATTGCACTCGCGGGTGCCCAACTCGATGCTCGCTGGCAACTTCATCGCGACCGAGAAAAGGTTACTCCTGCACTGCGCTGACCAGCGTTGGTCCTTAAAGAATTGAAACGGCACGCGGGCCTGGAAGAAAGAGCAGGGCACGCGGGCCCGCTTTATGGCGCTAACACCTGAAATTCACTACTTGCCGCTGCGGCGGCCATTGCCATTGCGATCACTGTGATCGTAGCACTCTGCATCGTGACTTCCGCCGTAGTCATGACCTCCACGCTGGCTGCCAACCCTGTGGTTGCTGCGGCGCAATCCGGCACCGCTGACAGTTTCTAAAACCGCGGCGCCTGTTTTAGCAGCGACGGCCAGCAGGGAGGGCCCAGTGGCGCCTAAAACCCTCACCAGCCCCACCTGGAACAGTGGCGACGTTCTCAGTCGATGGCGCATTGTCATTAATAGTTGACATTGGAAGAAGTTGAAATCGGAAAACGTAGAAAACTTGAACAATTGTGGATCGGAACTTGAATTGGTAAGGCTTCAAGTACAGCCTGTCATGCTGACTATTCGGACAAGGCTGTATGCTCTTCTGTGTGAAGGCAGAATGACTTCACCAGGAGAGCAGTAAGGTTTAAGTCGCCACTGCGACCCAGTTGTACGACAGTACCACAGAACCAGCCTTAGAGGCTCCGGTCGCTTCACTCCGTCGCATCTAAGCCAACAATCCTTTCCCTTGGCCTTTTACTGCCGGGAAACAGCCTAAGGAAGCGAGCAACCAGGAAAGATAAGGCGCGTGCTCTGTCAAGCCTTTAAAGCTGCGGCAGGCGCCCATGATTCGCAGGTGTGCGGTCCATATTCCGAAACAAGAATCTCTCCATTGTAGCTCCTCAGCAAAAGCCTTGTGCAGCAGCTCCCTGGCCCTCTCGGTCCGCCCTCACAGCCACGAGTCCTCACTTGAGGGAGCTTGACTCTGACCATCACAGCTCCTCTTGCCATCGCAGCTCCTCTTTTTTTGACATTTTTTGATTACAAGCTTCTTGAGCTTGTACTGCCCAAGACAAGCCAAGAGGCTCATGAGCCGCCGAGCTGGAAACAATAACTGAAAAGGATAATAAAAAGAAAAAAAAGGCAACAAATCATAACACTGTACTGTGATCCTCATTAGTCATCTATGTACTGCAACCTACGTCTTGATTCATAACATCTCCTGGAGCAATGCCTAGGGTCCAGAGCTTAGCATGGATATCCGCATACTCGGACACTCTAGTAGCACGTGCCGTTCGTCCTCCACTGCCTGCCGATTATTGCAGACCCGACACCACCTTGCAGCCCGTTCCCTACCATGGGGTCGGTTGACAGCCAAAGGCCAAACACACATCCTAAAATGCATCAAAGTGACGTGATGTTTCGGTGAGATGTAGCCTTCACAGTGCTTAGGTTGCCCCATCCACTGCAAATAGCGACACATCTTCACCCCTGGTTGCTTATCATCAGAGACAAACATATGTGGGCCAATGGCCAGCTTTTCACTACCCCAGTCGTCATCGAATCGATCTCGGAGTTCCTGCAGTAGCTGGTCAATATCTAGGACATGTGATGCAGCAATATCTACCCTAGCCTCAATCCCTTCATCCACACCACCCTCAAACCCCATGTCGTACCCTAAAAATTTCTAGTATACTGACAACCTCCAATCCCCAGCCATCGTGACATAAGGAAGAAGCAAAGGCCAAACGAAGCTCTTCCCGAAAACAATGACGATACACCGAGCCTTTAGCTTCTACCAGTCGGTTCCAAAAACGGAAGATTAGGTTCGCCCAGTGTACTTGTAACGGGTACTGCCCCAGTTCCTTGAACAGTAGCCGGTTGGGAGGCACCCCCGCCCCAGCCAACTGCTTCAGGAAGGATTTCTGCAGACCAACCATCTTATCCTCCAGCTCCTCTTGTGTAACTACTAGAGCAAATCTCACCTTTTGCAACAACAACCAAGGCATGTTTTTCGTAAGATTTTAGTCCTGTAGAGT